GAAGGCAGACCTGACTCTGTGAGGAGCTCTTGGATGTAGCTGCCATGCACGGGACGACGGCAGGGACATTAGTGATGCAGAGAGGTGACAACAATAGCTTTGAACAAAGTTAATGTCATAACTTGTGTTTGATATTTGACTTTGTTATTTTCTTTAAAAGTTTGATCTTTGATAGAGTAATGTGGGTTTCTTAACCCTAAATTAAAATGATTTATGTTCCAAACGGTTCCAAACTTTAAAAAGCTAAATACGTTATTAGCATGACGTCATCCAGCTAGCCAAACCTGTCTGGTGTACAGTACAGAAGCTTCGCATGGACTGCTTCCCTTTCCTGCTAGTCTGCTGTCTGATTGTGGGGTCAGGCTGATCTGGGATCAGCTCTTTCGCTGCAGTTTCTCCGCCAAAGTTCTCCTCTCAAACGAGACTTGGGAGAGAAGTGCTCGCGCTGACGAGAACGCGCAGCTCAGGGCAATACAGATTTGGCCCCAAGCTGAATCTATTGGAGGACGCTGATTGGCTAAATTGTATGTCACTCATTTATATCTTTAATCAGCAATTGACTAAACTGCTTCATAGACCCGCCTCCTGTGGGCAGATTCTCCATGGCCCCAGCGCTGCTGAGACATGCAGACAGGCGGAGAGGATGAGCAGGAAAAGCATATAAAGCATATATTTTGCGCAGATATCATATTTTATTATATACACATACATATACACATATTACTGGGTTCATTCCATATTTCAAAAACACAAATATTGACAATTTGTATAATTTATTATTATTATTATTTTTTTTTTTCTGTGGCTCAAGGGGGGGCCGCGCCCTAGCGCCCCCTATGGGCCAGCCGCCACTGGTGCTGGTCATTTCTAAACTGCCTTAATAATGAAAAGTAACATTTTGACATTACAGTATTAATCTGTTGGTGAGTGTTGGAAAATCTCAGCAACCTCATGTAGTTAAAACAAATAAAGAGATATATTTTTGGTTTGGCTGTAAATGAAGACAAGTGAGAGACAGCTGAGTTGAGCTGTTTGTAGCTGACCTTACAACTGCAAACCTGAATTTATTACATTTGGACATGTACATATAATTTACAACCACAGGGATCCTTAAATGAATGGAACACTAATAGTTCTATGTATGTTGTTAGTGACTACAGACTACTAAACATTAAACCTTTACAGCCTCAAAATCCTGAGAAACATGTGGATTAGTCTCATACTGACCTGTGATGAAAAATTCACCTCAGGTTCAGAGTAACGACAGCCCTCATGTATCAAACCCCCTTAAAGGCTTAAAAAAAAAAACTTTAAAAGGAATAAATAAAACCTTAGAAAGATTCAAGTGCCGCAAGAGACGTATAAACAACATCGAAATGAGCAATAATTTGACTGCAGACTAAGTGGGATTCATCTGTCAAAACGTTTCACACCTTTTCCTTATTTACATATTATGTACAAAACATTGTCTTAATTCACAAGTGTGATTTCATTGGAGCAATAAAATGCGCATGTCCTACATGAGACACAGGCTGGAACAAAGACTGTGCTTCACTAAACGACCGGCCTCCACGAGGCCCAGTGTGTCCAATCATCCGCTCTGATGGTAGCCGATTTATTCACATACGTTATGCAAAATACACCAAAAGAATCTTGTATGAGCACTAGATTATAAAAAATAAGACACTTTAATATTATGTATTTTCAGTAGTTTTCCATGCGCAATGCAAATAGACAATATACATTTATATTTGAAATGAACATAAGCATTTTCTCCAGAGGTGACACTGATCTTAAGGTAAGATCAGCTCATTCTTAAGAAAGGTGAGCATTAGATTAACACCCAAACTGGAGAGCCACTTCCTGGTTCTACTTTGACATACAGATCTTGCAGTAGTTGTGCACTCTATTTTTAAAAAGCAGTGTATATGTGTAATAGATATTTCAGGTGCATTTAAAAGGTTATGCTGAACTGAGGCTACATCCACACTAATACGTTCTCCTTTTAAAACGGGTTTTAAAAGGAAACGATCTACGTCCACACGGGCATTCCAGCACCATTGTAGAAATAATTTATGTCCATACTAACACGCCTGACAATGAATATTACATGACTCATGATTCAGCGTGCGTATATCAGCGTGTATCAGTTTCTTAGTTACAGAAAATAGTTTTATTGCACTCTTTAATAATAAAAGGCTGCTTGATAATCTTCCTCTACTCAAATCCTCCCTCCCCTCTTCTCTACTCAAACGGACAAAGTTTATTTATTCACAAATAAAATGTACACTCTCATCAAACTCACATCAAATTTACTATAAAGATGAGCACTTACAAATCAAAGTTTTACTAGATTATGGGTCAAGAAGAAGAAGACGCAACCCTGGAGTTTCAAACTAAAACGGCATCAGCAGCGTCAGCAGACGCCAGGCGTAAACGTAGCAAAAGATACACGTTGTAGTAGTGTGGATGTAACGTTAAAACCTGTCCTGTGTTACGTCCATCTGTAATGCTGAGCACAGTGCAGAAAAAGGGTTCCAAAAGGGTTGTTCCTGAAGGGCTGAGGTTCTAGCTACAAAACTAAGTAAGATTAAGAGTTTCATTAAGAACCTTTTAATCCAAAGAAGCCTTTTTGGAAAAAAAGTTCTTCAACGATTGTTGAAAGCATGGGTGGTAAAAGATCCTCCCAGCGTTGACATCCCCAAAAACTGTGATTGTGAACCATGATCGTTGTGGGTTGAACTGCATCACCATCAGCCCCGGCCCTCCAGGAGCCTCATTAGGAACCCCGGATGGGTTCTAGATGAAACCCTTGGAATATAATAGAGTTCTCCATAGTTCGGGATGAAACCAGATGGTTCTTGGAACAACCCTTTATGTTGGGATCCTAGGGATAACCCATAACCATTAAGGTCCCTCTTATGGGGGCAGGCCAAAGAACCATACATGGTTCTGGTTGGCAGCTGTATTTCTAAGAGTGTAGGCCCCATGATGAGTAAACTGTTAGCATGTGTCCTGGCAGGAATTATGGCCAAAACTATTAGAGATTCCATGAAATGGGCCCTTGAACTTGAAAACTGCCGCATGGTAGGAAATGGTGTGTCTTCAGTGGTGACCTCATGCTGAATCCAACCAAAAAAGTCATCACAAATTCTACAACACCGCCTATCTAATGTGAATATTGTGAAATAACCAACATGATTTCTGGAATGACGTCAGTGTGGGGTCAGCAAATTCACTGCCTTGCAAATGGCAAAATCATGCTGCAAAAGGACCAGACAAGAGGAAATGACTGAGGCCCTATGAGCTAAAAGCCACCAACACCGTTCTGCTTTAATGAGTGAAACCCGACATCTAGCGTGTTCAACACAGACAGCAGGGCAGTGTGGAGGACACCGCCACACTGTTGTGATTCTTCTCCGCTCCACTAAATCATTTTCCTTCCATCACCAGAATCAAGACTGCAGTAATGCCAAACATCACCACTGATGCAGGTGTGCTATGAATGTGTTATTCTGCTTAACTAATGCATACATGTATATGGGCAACATCCATTTCAAGCAGTCCCTGTAATATAATACTGATACCATGTCAGAAAAACCTTTGGACCAACAATGCAACACTTATGAAAGATAAAAACGATTGTATATAGACACGATAGAGAGCTATCACATGTTAAAGTGCCATCCTTTAAAAGGTTCCCAATACAACATTTAGAGCTAACAGTGTCTACCGGGGGAAACAGAGGGCTTCCATGCCTTAACCGCCACATGAGAGCAGTGCAGAGCAGCGGCCGTGAGCTAACCAGTGGGGCACTCTCACGTGCACGCTCACATGCACTAACATGCACTGAAAGTCACGCGGCCGGGCGGCTATGTGAACAAAGAGAGTAGAAGCTCTGATAACAGCACACACAGAGGGAGAGAGACTTCAGGTAGACATTGCTCCTCTATATCTGTACATGGATGATAGTTGTTGATGAGATATTAATGATCTGAATGTTAAATAGAGAACCTGTGAATAAGTGATGGTCACAGTAAAGTCAGAGGACCCGAACAGATACACTACACTATTCAACAGTTTGTGTGCTACAGCATTCGATTATGTAATAAAGGAAATTTTATAATGGAAGATGTAATAATAAAATACTCAGATTAATATGATTTGTTTTGTCTAGAAGCTGAAACTTTATTTTTCTGAAATAGTATCACGGTTAGCTGGGATGAATGTTCGTTGTATCAGTAGTTGACATCGAGCATGGACGACCTGTGCTGCTCATTATGTCTACTTGTTCTACTGTCATGCTAATAACAGGCTGTGCCTCTGCCGTCAAACTATTCATTACACCCCCCCCAATTTGAAAAACAGAACATAAAACACAAAAGCTTTGCTGTTCTTAGGCTGAAACTGTAACATTTGTCCAGAGGGTGGCGCTCGTGAAAGGGTCATAGAAGCATTCCAATCAAAAGGGTTCATCTCTTTGGGAATATCGATGGCAATCTGACAGATATTTCATATGCAAAGTTGATATTTTGGCCGGAGGTGGTGCGAATGGGAGATGATGGAGTGTCCACAATGTAAAGAAGATATCTGTCACAGTTCAGCTCCACACCCTCTTCACTCTTATTGTCAGTCACTCCCTCCTCATTAGTCTAAACGCCCTTCACCTGTTCACTCACCTGCCTCTGATCAGTAATCAAGCCCCTATATAGACTCCTGCCTCCCAGACACATTTGCCAGATTGTTCTTCGGTTCTATGCCAGACTCTCCAGCACACGCTCACGGACTGATCTCCTGTTCTACCCGCCTTGCCTGACTCCCGGTAAACCCACCAGCCTTCTGATCCTGACCCTGTTTGAACTCTGCCTGCTATATTTGAAGTTAGTAATAAAAGCCAAAGATCTCTGGAATCCTGTGTGTTGCATTTGGGTCCATATACAACCCGTTACAATATCCTCGGAGAAGAATGAATGTGCTCAGTACTTGTCATGACAACCTGCCCATTAGAGTTTGACATATGTTTAGGTTAAAAGAACTGGTAATGGTGGGACGGATGAAGGTGCTTAAAGGGAAAACTGTGTGAATTCATCCTCTTGGAAACGTGAATATTCGGGGGAATTTCTTGGAAACCCTGCCATCTGTTTTCCAGGTACCATGCTATAGATCTTAGTTATAGAAGCTGAAGAGTTAGACCTCATGCTGGCTGCAGCGGAGAAGTCAGGTCAGAGGGTCACCGAAGCCATGAGAGTCTTCCTCTGAGGACCATGAATATCCCCGACAAACCTGACAACTCATCAGTAGTTAGGATATCTCACTCTGGGCCAAACAGCGGAGGGGCTCCTCTGTCCTCGCTGCCGCCAGGGCAAAGGTCCTGTGGCACTAATGAGCCCTGCATGAGAACTTGTGTTAAAACCGTATGCACATTTACTTCATAAGTTCAATGACAATTCAAAACAACACACTGTATTCATCCATTTCCTAAACATTACAATAGTATTGTAGTCACCATGTGCACAAATGAGGATTTTAGAATGTCTGACCATCACAGAAGTGGACAACGAAGGTTTGTACAGTAGATTCAACAGAGGGGGTCCCTGTCTGTCTGTCTGTCATTAATAGAGTATTTCCGTCTGTCAGCTTGCTGAGTTGTGATTGGACGGTGGGATGATGGGTGTGCACCTGATGTTCAGTTTGGAGACAGTGACGGTGTCTTCGCTCTCCTTAACACGTCTGTTTCCATCTTCATCTCCTTTTAAAGGCCACACCTGTCGCTCTCATTCTCGTCTCCTTTCTTACGTCTCTCCTCCACTTGTCTGAGTCTGTCTCTCATGGTCCGTCTCCCTCTCCCAGGTCAGAGGTCGGCCATCATCGGGCTCTTCCTGTGCTCTGCAACTTCTTATAGATGGGACGAGGTGGAGAAACACAGTTTCAGGGTGTATGGGTTGGACCCGTCTGAAAGAACACACACACACACACACCAACAATTGATTTATGTCGGCATAAAGAAGCTAGGACACAAATATTGAAGGTGCCATAGAGTGGCACCAGTGACATCGGTCTTTGAAACAGAAAACAGTCTCCGGCCTGCTCAGTTCTCAAGGACAGAAATAGCAGCGTCTCTGCCACTGACAGCAGAGACAGCATGGCACTTTGTAAGCTCTTTAGTCCTTTTTAGGGCAGCCCAAGTTGTTAAAGCCCTCTCACGACCAGCCTGTGAGTGTGTCCTAGGCTAGCCACACACACACACACACACACGTAGTATTAGAGTCTGTCTAAGAAACATTAGCCGCGCCCTATTACAGTTATAAGAACTGATGGCAGAAAGTGCACTAAATGTGTACAACTAGGACAAGTATAAATGAATAGGTAGAGAAGAATCCGTCATCAGATATTCATTCAGCTTCAGGATTGATTTCAAAGTCAAGTGTATCTTATGACACTTCTAAAACTAGTTCAAGTTCAGTGTGTTGTGTCTGTGGGGAGATGATGCATTTGTTCGTGTGTGCCTGTGTATCTGTCTGTCCGTCCACAGCTAGTCTGTCACACTACTGGACCCATCAGCTGTTTGTTTTTTAAAGAGTATATTTATTGATTTTCAAATGGTTGAAGGGCCATGATACAGATAACATTTTACACCATTATCGTGGTTCAAAAACCGACATCCACAAAAAAAAGTTTGGTCTCATTTTGAACCGGAGCATCTGCAGATGAAATCAACACCCAATATGTTATGATCCACTAAATTTAGGCTTGTTTTTGTTATTTTGTCTGCGATGTGGACTGTAAGGGAGCTGGGATAGACGTTTGAGTGAGATTCCCCTCATCTTCGTTTGGGGGGGGGGCACTGACCTACACTCTACGGAGAGAAGCTAGTACTAGTTTGTATTTATTATTGTATAAATACAAACAGTGAAGTTTACTCTTTAAGATGAACTGTTACATTTGGTGTTTGGTGTAATGTATTTGAAACCTATATTTTTCTGCTCTAGAATGTATATTTATGGGATACTGTTCCTTGTTTTATGTACAAATAGCATATTGTGTTTAAGTATGAAATCTAAAACATTAGCATTGTCCTGAGATAAGGCATGTTAAGCATACTGAGGTATTAGTCAGACATTGTTCATACTGTATATGTACTGACAGTACTACTCATGTTTGATGTACAACACTGTGCCTCTACTACTACTGTCCAACACTAACACATCATCAGACATGTATCAGTGTAACACTGGTCAGCTAACACACACACACACATGTGAGTGAGCTGAAACAAACCGTATGATGAAATGTGACATGTTGGGTTCCTTCTTCCTTTAGTTGTATTATTGTACAGTATGTATTTTACCTTGACATCCTAAATGGGAAAACAAAAAAAATCCTTGTACCAAGGTCCAAAATGACCAGGAAGTAGGACAATCAGAATTACGGATATACCTAGATTATGATATAATCAAGCTGTATGAGGTCTTGACAGATTGGACATTAAAGTATACGAATGCTTGAAGGACAGGAAGACTTACTGGGTATCCTGATCTGGTAGTGGTTGAGAACAGTAAGAACCTCCACTGCCTCCGTCTTACTGTCAAACTCCAACAAGCCGGAGATGGTCTTAGAGGAGGCTGAGGGAGAGAGAAGCAACATGTCAGATTAAAAGAGCCGAATCAACAGTACTAATGCCGCGGCTTAAGTTCCGGGCCCCGAGTACCAGGGGCCTCACGGGACAGGAGCTTAGAAAAAAATGTTTAAATGTATATATTATAAATGATAAATTTGCACCAGGGCCTCCATGAGCACTATTGGACCGGGGAAGTCACAGAGGTATCTGTGCACAGCTGTGATGATCAACTTTATGTAGGTTTATATTGTAAGACTACCATGACATAATATTTATATTCACTGTATGTTTGAATGATGACCCTACTGTTAAACCTCACTACTCCTACACAAACATTCCAAGGCCCGAGTCAGTTACAAAGTCAGTAAAACTGCTGTGATGATGGCGCTTTGTTGGCGACGGTGCCGTCTCCGTCAGCACCATGGACAGCACTACACATCAAACAAGCAGGACGAGGACAGCCTGCAGCTCATATCTCATAGCTATCACAAATAGAATGAACCTGTGTTTTTGAACCACCTAAAAGTTGGAGGACAACTCAGGAAGACAACTTACTTTTAAAAGATCAGAATAATACGAGTGTGGCCTACATACACTCTTCTTCTACTACTTCTAAAGGTGAGACAGTACACCAGTGTTTACACTGCTTCTGTGCATGTGGTGGTTGCAGGTTTTTAATGAAAAGACTGAGTTTCTGTGGTGTTGTCGCTGTGCACACAGAGATAACCTAGCTCTGTCCTGACTTATTGTTCATGTAGTGTCTTCTGTTGATGAGTTTCATATTCTGTTTAGTAATTAATAATAATAATACATTTGATCTAATAAGCGCTTTTAGAAAAAAGTCAGACACTTTACAAAGAGGATAAAATAGATTTCAAAACATACATCATAGAAATAGACAGACAAGTCAAATGGTTAGACTTTAAAAACAGACCCGAGGTTCGGTGCTAGCTGTGGGTGTGAGGAGGTGAGCAGTTGGCGATCTGAGGGCACGTGTAGGAGTGTGCCATTTAAGCAGTGCGGATAGGTTGGAGGGGGCCATTAAAGCAGTGCGGATAG